AATCTATCAATGAATTTGAAACCAGTGAGATTGAAGGATGGCATTTCAACCTCCAAATCCAGTAATTAAAATTGAAGATCCTTTCGGTTAGCAAAACTTTCAAAATTTTCTTTAAAAATATTTTTTCCCAATGAAGAACCAAGCTTATCTTTATTATGTTTTCCGGTATACACCTTGCAGTAGAATTCTGTAGAAATCAAATAACCACAATACATTTGCAATTATTTAAAATCCTATGCATATTAATATGTGTGGGTACGGGTGTATGTTTGAGTTCCCACAGTTAGATTCACACTGAGCTGAAGCAACCTTACAGCATGTTGGACCTGGAAAGGCAGCTCATTTACAATGTGGAGGAGAGAGAATGAGTCTCTGCGCCTCTATCATTCTGAATACAGGCTTCCCCTCCTCTAAAATTTCCCCAAATAGTAAAATATAAACTTCTTAAAGAAAACTCTATTATCTATTAGAATGACTGTTGCACGGCAATGTATATGATAGTAATGTGGTGTGTAATTTCATGAGCAATTTTATGAGTTCTGCAATTACTGGGCTCAAACCAAGTTTGAAATGGATTAGCTGTTAAATAGTGGAAGTTTAAAGATGAGGTATGCTTTAGTTGAAAAATGATGCATATTGACTTCTGAAATAATGCTACTGACTTGTAAAGGAATTGAGGAGAGTTATGCAAGAGAAAGGGATTCTCCTTTTGGATACATCTTTTCTCTGTACTCATCAGATTCAGGCTATTCTAGAGGTAACAGGGGCAGTACCGTTCTGCAGTCTAAAAAAGGGATAGTGGTTGCCAAATAGATGAGTCACATAACCCATTTTCTATTGCTTAGAATTCTTCAAAACTTTGCTTTCTGCAGCACAAAGATCGGGCATTCTATCACATTCTTTTGGTAGAGCTCTATGAGTACCCAAGTGGATGAATTTCTGCAGCCTCAGCAATCCAGAGTCCCGGTCCAAGGGTCAAGGAGCAAACCTTGGAGAATATAGTATTTTGACAATACACAGACCTTCCTTTTACACAGAGAATCTGAAATTATGGCATTAAATAACAAGGAGAAGATAATGGCTGATAGCATACCCACCTTCCCTAACCCCATTCTGCCTCTTTCATTATAGTCAATCATCCTGAAACCTGAACAGACTCCAGGAGGAGTGTATCTACTTTCAAGACAACAAAATATTTAGTTTTAGGTTATACAAGTACACACAATCATACATACACACATCTTTTTGATTTAAAAATGAATTGTGCAAGTCAAAACACAGAGAAACACATAGATCAAAGGTTAGAGGGTCTAACACAAACTAAACTTGGGACTGGGGTCACCAACTATGACCCATGGGCCAAATCCAGCCCTCCATCTGCTTTTGTAAATAAAGTTTTCCTGGAACACAGCTACACCCATTCTTTACATAGTAACTATACCTGTTTTCAACACTTCAACAGCAGAAATGAGTAATAAGAGAGACTGTTTAACTCCTGTAGCCTAAAATATTATCGGGAAGCTTGCTGATCAGTTACAGATCAAAAAGAGCATCTCCATCATGATCTGTATGAGGCAAAGTAACAAAAAATGATCTTTATCAGTGTTATTGACCCAGAATAAATGGATTAAAATAGCTCCATATCATATATACTCAAATATTCTGCTTATAATTTGTGCAGCCAAAACCAGTTTTCAGCTGTGTTTATTAACAAAAAGTAATAAAATTTTACCTGTGTATAATTGTATTTATATACATACATAGATCATATATATATGTAAAGAGTGGGAAAGATAGGAGCTAGCCAATTTGCGTATAAGGAATTCTAAAGAAAAATAGCAACTCAAAATACTCTTATTAGGAACTGTTGTTCGGAACTTTGAAATATTTTAGTATATTTCTCTTTATATTTAACAGCATGGGACTATTAATAGGGCCCATATTAGAACAAAGACAATTTACAACTGTAAGTTTTACCCATGAATTATGTGGCAAAATCTTTTTGAATATAAAATAACCAGCATTTCTATAAAACACTGCTTTTTAATTATGCAATTAAAATGATATAGCAAAATAAGAATGTTTTTATTTCTAAAGTCAATATTTTAGTCAAAGTTGCATCATAAATCAAATAGTTCTTTGACATTTTCAAGAGATTTTACTTCTTAACTACAATTATAGTGGTTGGTATTATATAGTAACACAGTGTTTTAAAATATATTATAAATCTTTTCTTTTTCCTCTTTAATTTATATGAAATATAAAATTAAGAATTTTGTAACACAATTCGTATTGGAAACATTTAAAATGTTGTGAACTACTGTCATACAGAAAATGCTGTGGAATCACATAAAACATTCTAATGATTGGAAGTGCCAGGCACGATGCTTGGCGCATACTAGATACTTCATTAATGTTTGTTCACTCATCCTCTCATTTACTCATGTAATTATGCAAAAAACTCCAGGCCTGAGGAGAACCTGCATTGTAATGAGAATGGCAAACACGATCTTTTATCAACAAATCTGGAGCTCTGACAAAGACTTTGGCAATGGAGAGTGGAGAGGATGAGAGGATGATTAAGATTTCAAACCGCTTGGTTAAAATCTAGCAAGTATAGCCCTGAGTTGCCCTAGATGACATCATAGAGGATCAGGGTCAATACTCCATGAGAAGTGTGCATTCCTTTGATACCCAGGTTTTACTTTCACATATAAACATCTGCTGAAAATCAGGAACATGTTGGTGTTAGAGATATAAAATGTTCAACCCACAAGAAAGTAAAAACCACCTGACTGGGGACATATTTTTGTGAGTTGAGACTTCTTTTTGGTTAGGGTCCCATTGTCTTGGTTTTAACAACTTAATACTGGTTGAATAAAAAAAAAATCTGATTAAATGTAAAAAGTGTGAATCTAAAATGAAGAGAAATAAACACAGAAGACAGAACAGTGTTTAAAATTCCTATTTTTTTCTATTATGCACCAACTGACCTACCTATTCTGCACATTTGTGCCAAAGGCACAGGTAAGGTGTCAGCTCTTTGAAGAGGCACCTGGAAAAGACCATTTCTGGGTTCTTTGCAGAAGGTCTTATACATGCAATGAATATTTAACCTGAGTATTAAGGTCTACGAAATGCAAAGAGCTGTAAAAGACAGAAGTAAAAGGTACTCTTGGAAGCTAAGCATTATATGGGATGAGAATTGATCTTGAAGGAAATAATTTAAAAATCTATTACAAAAATAAAAAGTGACACTGCCAAGTCATTTGTAGCTGACTTTAATTGCCTTTGGTATTCAGGAGAAGAAAAAAATCGAAGTACTTTTATAAGCTCTGGTCTTTCCATCACACGGAAGGTAGGGAGTGGTGAAGAAGACCCTTCCATTGTCCCTGTCAAATTATTGTACCAGAACTGACTCTGCTTTTATGCTTCCCTGCCTTCTCTTAAGCTCCAGTCATCTAAGTAATACAAATAGGGCACTTGGGAGTAGGGGTTCTGTCTCCTTATCCCTTGAGAAGTTCCTGGGGAATCAAGAAGGTCCCTTAACTCTGCATTCTTCTAAACAAGGTGAAAGAGAATTCAGAGTTCATTGCCATCTGCACTGCTGCTCTGGGTCTTGGCCAATTCAAGTTTTTCACTTTTCCTTAGTGATTCATAAGTGGGCTTGTGCTACTTTTATGAGGAAGGCTTTTTTTTAGAACCAAATACTTTGCCTTTTCCCCTCTGCAGTTACAGTAATATGTATATCTTCTCATCTAGAAATTTAAATGTTCAAGTAGTAAGAGACATTACAATGTCAAAACATGTGCTATAATTTAACTCTCTTAAGGACTACTGTAACTGGCCCTGTATCCTTATTTTCTACGTATACTGAAAAATTCTGCAGTGGTCATCATTTACGGATCATCAGCAGAACTGTCAAAATTAATAATTTGTGGTATAAGATGATCCACCTTAGAAAATAACGTATTAATTAAATCCTTTCTCAACTTACATCTAAAAGCTAATTTAAAAACAAATGCTATCAAACAAGAAAATAAGCCTTCAGAATTCCAAGGTGGGCTTCTTGTACAAACTTGGTTTCATGAAATCTTCAAATTCAGAGTAAATATTATACTAATTATACTGTTTCTATCTTTTATTAATGTCAATGGAAGATGTCTATATTAAACGAAAAGAGCGAAAATGTATCTTGCACTGTCACATAAATTTAAGGACAGAAAATTTATAAGCACTAGATATTTATCTTATAGTTTCTGATAAAATTTAAGTTCTTTTTGCCAAAATATAAAGAACTAGTAGTTTATTTAAAAAGAAACGGCGCCGGGCGCGGTGGCTCAAGCCTGTAATCCCAGCACTTTGGGAGGCCGAGGCAGGTGGATCACGAGGTCGAGAGATCGAGACCATCCTGGTCAACATGGTGAAACCCTGTCTCTACTAAAAATACAAAAAATTAGCTGGGCATGGTGGCACGTGCCTGTAATCCCAGCTACTCAGGAGGCTGAGGCAGGAGAATTGCCTGAGCCCAGGAGGCAGAGGTTGCAGTGAGCTGAGATCGCGCCATTGCACTCCAGCCTGCATAACAAGAGCGAAACTCTGTCTCAAAAAAAAAAAAAAAAAAAAAAAAAAAGAAATGGCAATGCAAAACCTACTGATAGTAAGATAAAGTCCCTTAGATGTATCCCAATTTTAGTGTAATATGATTAATTACACCACTCTTTTATCACTGAAAATTTTGAAACTATTCTGATTCTTTATTTCTATAAATACTCTTGGAGAAAATTAAAAAAAAAAACATACAATATCTGTGAACAACTCACTCATCTGACGAGATTAAAAATAAAAGACCCCCCATTCCAGACAGAATAAGAAAGTTTCACTGTGTTTGTTTTGCTTTAGTAAGTTATAAAAGTAATTTAGTTTATCAAGGCAAATTTAGAGCTGCCTAATGGTAAAGAGATTTTTTTTTGCCAAGCCACATAAATAAAAGTAGTAAGTTGAGTGACTCTCCTAACTGTATTATGAGATTGAAGTAGATAAAATTTATGTGGTAGATGTGATGGTCTGGAAAAAATAATGTACCAACAAAAAAAGGATTGCTCTTAGGACAGGCTTCAAGGCAACCAACTGCGGCATTTCCCCCACTTTCTGTCATGCTACCAACATTAGACTGAACTACATGCACAAATTCCAAACTCAGGCTCGTAAGTGGTGATTATGATAAATATCAGTTTCGATGATTCCATATGGAGAAAAAGACTTGAAGAGTATTCTTTGTGAGATCATGCCCCCAGAGAAAATTAAACTTAACCAAGAAATTTCAATGAAATAGGTTAGGATTTTAAATGGTTGCCAGTCTGGTCATCCAATGGGGAACTTGAAAATTCAGACAGGGATGGGTACTCCTGATTCTTTTTTGAGTCTTCTTGTTACTGACACAGTTAAACTACTCTTTCGTTCTTGTTTCTTTTAGTTCATTCCATTATTAAAATGGAGAAAAAGGGATAAGCAATATGTAAATATTTGATTTGAACGCTGCTCCACTGTAGGAGGAAACAAATATATAATTGGTTCCAAAGGCCATCTTTAAATCCTGCAAGGTGCTCTTTATTCTTAGCTTGCTTTCAGGAAGTCTAGCCTCCAGACTTCAGGACTCTAAAAAACCAATTCAGTAGTACCAGGCATCATTTCTCATGAGACTACTTCATTACCAATCGAAGCACATCCAGGTCTCTGTCCTACACATACCAGAACATGTGTTTGGTCAGGTATAAAATGGAATAATTTCAAAGCTGATACATCTACAAGTCGAGAAGTCTTAGGGAGAAGAGTTTCACCCCATCATGTCGACACAGAGGTCCAGGTTTCCAAAAGCCGCCTCTCCAAATGAATTTCTGTAGTGGTCCATGTAAACAAAACACAGGTGAGGATGGTCCTTCTGGAACTGCTTTCATCGAACAGCAGGATTACCTGAAAGTGTGGTGTTGGCTAAATGTAACACAGGCAGAGGGTGAGCCTCTGTATTAAACACCCAGTGGTCTAAAGGTAAAAGGTCATCACCGGAGAACAGCAGATACAAATATCTGAAAATAAAAAGGGGAGAAAAATGAGTTTCAATTAGAATTCAACAAGAAGATGAAGTGAGCTCAGTTATAATGGCAGGAAAAAAACTAATAACCTATTTTGAGCAGCTTCGATGAAAAATAACGCAGAAATAAACCTCAGTCCCCCAAATGACCTAAACACAGTGACAACGGGTTTCAGAATAGTGTGTAAGAAATCCAGTAAGATGAACAACTAGACCTGCTGAAATAAAATTGTTAAAAAAACATTCCGGCCAGGCGTAGCAAAGAGAGCAGACGTGTTTGTCTTGTTCCTGATCTTAGAGTAACACATTCAGTTTTTCTTTTTGTTTTTTTAGACAGAGTCTTGCTCTCTCACCCAGTCTGGAGTGCAGTGGTGTGATCTCAGCTCACTGCAACTTCCACCTCCCAGGTTCAAGCAATCCTCTGCCTCAGTCTCCCTACCTGTGATTATAGGCACATGCCACCACATCTGGCTAATTTTTGTATTTTTAGTAAAGACAGGGTTTCACCACTTTGGTCAGGCTGGTCTCAAACTCCTGACCTCATGATCTGCCCACCTTGGCCTCCCAAAGTGTTGGGATTAAGGTGTGAGCCATCGCCATGCCCAGCCCACATTCAATATGATGTTAGCTGTAGGTTCTTCATATATGCCCTTATCAGGTTAAGACATTTCTTTCTATTCCTACTTTGCTGAGAGGTTTGTTTTTTTTTTTTTGTTTGTTTGTTTGTTTGTTTTTAATCAGAAATGGATGTTGGATTTTGCCATAAAACTTTTCTATGTCTACTGAGGTAATCTTTTTTTAGTTAACTGATTTGATTTTCAAACATTAAATCAACCCTCCACACCTGGCATAAACCCACTTAGTCATAACGTATTATCTATTTAATATGTTGCTAGACTTGATTTGCCAAAATCTTGCTTAGTTCTATTAACATTCAGGAGGAATATTGGTTCTGATGAAGACTCTGATGTCATTCATTTTTTCCATAAGTTCTGGGGTACAGGTGGTATTTGGTTACATGAGTAAGTTCTTCAGTGGTGATTTCAGAGATTCTGGTGCATCCATAACCCTAGCAGTAAATACTGCATCGTATTTGCAGTCTTTTTCCCTTGCCACCCTCCCACTCTTCCCCTGAAGTCCACTGTATCATTCTTACACCTTTATGTCCTCACAGCTTAGCCCCCACATATCAACGACAACATACAATGTTTGGTTTTCCATTCCTGAGTGACTTCACCTAGAAAAATAGTCTCCAATATTATCCAGGTCACTGCAAATGCCGTTAATTCATTCCTTTTTATAGCTGAGTAATATTGCATCATATCAACATACCACAGTTTCTTTATCCACTCATTGATTAAGAGGCTTTTGGGTTGGTTCCACAATTTTGCAATAGTGAATTGTGCTGCTATAAACATGCGTGTGCAAGTATCTTTTTTGCATAATGACTTATTTTCCTCTGGGTAGACAGCCAGTAGTGGGATTGCTGGATCAAATGGTAGTTCTACTCTGAGTTCTTTAAGGAATCTCCATACTGTTTTCCATAGTGGTTGTCCTAATTTACATTCCCACCAGCAGTGTAGAAGTGTTCCCTGTTCACCATGTCCATACCCACATACGGTTTTTAATTTTTTTATTTTGGCCATTCCTGCAGGTGTAAGGTGGTGTCGCAATGTGATTTTGATTTGCATTTCCCTGACCATTAGTGATGTAGAGCATTTTTTCATATTGGTGGGCCATGTGTCCCTCTTCCTTTGAGAACTGTCTGTTCAGGTCCTTAGCCCACTTTTTGATGTAATTTTTGTTCTTACTGATTTGAGTTCATTGTGAAGATTTTCTCTCACTTTGTGGGTTGTCTGTTTATTCTGCCGACTACTCCTTTTGCTGTGCAAAAGCTCTTTAGTTCCCAGCTATTTATCTTTGTTTTTGTTGCATTTGCTTTGGGTTCTTGGTCATGAAATCCTTGGTTAAGCCAATGTCTAGAAAACTTTTTCCAATGTTATCTTCTAGAATTTTTATAGTTTCAGGTCTGAAAGTCCTTAATCCATCTTGAGTTGATTTTTGTGTAAGGTGAGAGATGAGGGTCCAGTTTCATTCTCTTATGTGTGGCTAGCCAATTATCACAGCACCATTTGTTGAAAAGAGTGTCCTCTCCCCACTTCATGTTTATCTTAGCTTTGTCGAAGGTCAGTTGGCTGTAACTTTTTGGCTTTATTTCTGGGTTCTCTATTCTGCTCACTGTTCTATGTGCCTATTTTTATACCAGTACCATGCTGTTTTGGTGACTATGGCCTGAGGTATAGTTTGAAATCAGGTAGTGAGATGCCTCCAGATTTATTCTTTTTGCTTAGTCTTGCTTTGGCTACGCGGGCTCTTTTTTGGTTCCATATGAATTTTAGGATGTTTTTTCTAGTTCTGTGAAGGATGATGGTGGTATTTTGATGGGAATTGCATTGAATTTGTAGACTGCTTTTGTCTGTATGGTCATTTTTACAATATTGATTCTACCCGTCCACGAATGTCACCTACGATTTCTTTCAGCAGTTTTGTAGTTTTCCTTGCAAAGGTCTTTCATCTCCTTGGTTAAGTATATTCCTAAGTACTTTATTTTTGCAGCTTTTGTAAAAGGGGTTGAGTTCTTGATTTGATTCTCCACTTGGTTGCTGTTGTTGTATAGAAGAGCTACTGATTTGTGTACATTAATTTTGTATCCAGAAACTTTGCTGAATTCTTTTACCAGTTCTAGGAGCTTTCTCTGGAGGAGTCCTTAGGGTTTTCAAGGTGAACAATCATATCATCTGCAAACAGCGACAGTCTGACTTCTTCTTTATCAATTTGGAAGCCCTTTATTTCTTTCTCTTGCCTGATTACTCTGGCTATCACTTCCAGTACTATGTTGAAGAGGAGTGGTGAGAGTGGACATCCTTGTCTTGTTCCCGTTCTCAGAGGAAATGCTTTCAACTTTTTCCCATTCAGTATTATGTTGGCTGTGGGTCTGTCACCGATGGCTTTTACACATTGATGTATGTCACTTGTAGGCCAATTTGGCTGAGAGTTTTAATCATAAAGGGACGCTGTATTTTGTCAAATGCTTTTTCTGCATCCCTTGAGATGATCATGTGATTTATAATTCTGTTTATGTGGGGTACCACATTTATTGACTTGTATATGCTAAACCATCCCTGCATCCCTGGTATGACATCCACTTGATCACGGTGGACTACCTTTCTGATATGTTGCTGGATCTGGTTAGCTAGTCTTTTGTTAAGGATTTTGGCATCTATGTTCATCAAGGATATCAGTCTGTAGTTTTCTTTTTTGGTTTTGTCCTTTCCTGGTTTTGTTATTAGGGTGATGCTGGCTTTACAGAATAAATTAGGGAGGGTTCTCTCTTTCTCTATCCTGTGGAATATCGTGTGGTAGAATTCTGCTGTGAATCTGTCTGGTTCTGGACTTTTTTATGTTGGTAATTTTTAAATTACCATTTCAATCTCGCTGCTTCTCTATTGGTCTGTTCAGGGTATCTAATTCTTCCTGATTTAAGCTAGAATGGTCGTATTTTTCCATGAAGTTATCCATCTCCTCCAGGACTTTTAGCTTACGTGTGTAAAGGTGTGCATAGTAGCCTTGAATGATCTTTTGTATTGCAGTGGTGTCAGCTGCAGTATCTCCTGTATTGTTTCTTAATGAGGTTATTTGAACTTTCTTTACTTGGTTAATCTTGCTAATGGTCTATCAATTTTATTTATCTTTTCAAAGAACTAGCTTTTTGTTTCATTTATCTTTTGTATTTTTTGTTTTGTTTCCATTTCATTTATTTCTGCTCTGATCTTGGTTATTTCCCTTCTTCTGCTGGGCTTGGTTGTTCTTGTTTCTCTAGTTTCTTGAGGTGTGACCTTAGAATGTCAGTTAGTGCTCTTGGGCTATGACCTTTCCTCTTGGCACAGCCTTTGCTGTTCTCCCGAGGTTTTGATAGGTTGTGTGATTACTGTCATTCAGTTCAAAGAATTTTTTAATTTCCAGCTTGATTTTGTTTTTGGCCCAATGTTTATTAAGGAGCAGGTTATTTAGTTTCCATGTATTTACATGGTTTTGAAGGTTCCTTTTGGAGCTGACTTCCAGTTTTATTCTCCTGCGAACTGAGACAGTGCATGATATAATTTCAAGTTTCTTAAATTTATTAAGGCTCATTTTATGGCCTATCATATCGTCTATCTTGGACAAAGTTCCATGAGCTGTTGAATAAAATGTGTATTCTGCAGTTGCTGGATGAAATGTTTTGAACATATCTGCTAAGTCCATTTGTGCCAACATATAATTTAAATCTATTATTCTTTGTTGACCTTCTGTCTTGATGACCTGTCTAGGGCTGTCAGTGGAGTACTGAAGTTCCCCATTATTATCATGTTGCTAATTTCTTAAGTCTATCAGTAATTGTTTTATAAATTTGAAAGCTCCAGTGTTAGGTGCATATATGTTTAGGATTGTGATATTTTCCTGTTGGACAAGACCTTTTATCATTATATAATATCCTTCTTTGTCTCTTTTAATTGCTGTTGCTTTAAAGTTTGTTTAAACCAACTGTCATTCTTTTTTAAAAAAATTTTCCTCTTTACTACTTTATTTTTTTTTATCAATTTTACTTTCTTTTGCTAATACTTTTATGGAACAGTTTCACCCCATAAAGGATCTGGGCTATCTATAACGTTTCATCATAAAAGAAAACATATACCATTTAAAAACATATATAATCCCTTTCTGTTATCATGTTTTTATTAGTGAATATATACTTATAAAAGGGATTTGAATAGTGATTTTCCAAGAACAACGTGAAAAGTAAAAACAGTTTTATCTTTTCTCCAGTTTTCACTTCCAAAGTATATGTGCTGCTAAGTAAGAAGTTTTCTTTTATTCTTAGATAGTTCATATTGGCACTTTTTGGGTTTTTAAAAATTATGCATTTTCACTGGGTAATCTGGTGAGCTTCTTTATAAT